TTCTGAAAAAAATAGCTTTCGTTTACTTTTATTTATTACTGAAAGAAATAGCTTTCGTTCATTTGCATTTAATGCTGAAAGAACTATCTTTCGTTCATTTGTATTTAATCCTAAAAGAAATATCTTTTGTTCATTTGCATTTAATTCTGGAAGAAATTTTCTGATAAGTTTTCCATTTTTAAAACTAGGCTCCTCCCACAATATTGGCACAGTAATTCTACACCAATGTCAATTTATAAAAAGATATGAAAACAGGCTTCCTTGATCTTTTTGAAGGAATACAAATATTTTTAAAAGACATTCTGTAGAGAAAGAAATCATTTAATAAATTTATTTGTGATTTGAAATTTCTGATTCTACAAAATCGAACTAAGTCTCTATTTATAATTTGGAATTAATACCATTCTGTCAAGGGACTATATAAACTCTCATTACTTTGATAAATTAAATCTAGTTTATGAATAAATTAACTACTTGTTTTAGAATAGTTTAATCGATTTCGAAGCGATTAGTATAATGCAATTTATATTAAACAATAATATATTAAATTTAAGTAATAATACAATATAATTGTCGTGTTTTAAAAAGAGAATAAATGTCATTATCTGAGTTGCTTATACGAATACAAACAACCAAAACTTGAATAAAGATGAAAGCAACTAGTTGTGATTTTTTTTAAATAGTATTTAGCACCAAATTAATTACGTATCGAAATATTGATGATCTTTTTTTTACATTATTTTGCATGAATGAGCTTTTTTTTTTTTTTTAACAATAATGAACCTTTTTTTTTTTAGAAATAGAATATAGGTGAGTTTTTCTCACGAATTTTGTCAAGTCATTATGTATTCGAAGTTACCAGGTCAGCGTAAAATATCCAAGAATTGAAAGCTCTTCGTGGACTAAATTTTAGCAAATAACGTTCTTCTTGGTTGTTTGATTTCCATTGTGCAATATTATTACGAACAAGCAAAAATTAGTTATGTATATCTAGATAAAATAAGTAATAACGTAGTTAAGAAAAATACTATTATTTTATTAGACCTTTTTCAAATTATATTTAAGATCTCACAGACCCATAGGTCTGTGAAATCATGTATTATTTATTTTAAGTACAATATTAACACTGTTTTCTTCATTGTAGATTTTTCTATAAAAAATTTTTTTATTTATGATAAAAATGTCATCTATAATTAAATCATCTATAATTATAGCTTCTTAGTTAAATTATGTGCTAATATGTATCAACTTTAATTTGATTACCTACATAAATAATTTTTGACAATTCAATAATAAAGAAATTATTCAAATACGTCTGTACTTGCATTTTAAATCAATTAACTTCATTAAAATGAAAAAGTCAATGCAGTATTTTAGTAAAAAGCTTTCACTAAAAATAATTGTTGTAGGAATGAACAAGTTCACGAAAACAACAAGGATGGTTATTTTGTGAAGTGTTCATTATCTAATTGCACAATGCGCTCATCCTATTAGAAATTAAAATAAAATAAACAAATAAATAAAAGGTAAATATTAATGATAGCTAATATTTTACCTTTTCTCCTTTTTCAATTCTGCTCTCAAATAGACACAATTTTGATTCAGACGATTGATTTCATCGAGAAGCATATTCTCTTTTTTTGAAAAATTCTTAAGATGCAAAACAGCTTTACAAAAATTAACAATGATTTGTGGTGAGTTCTGCAAATGTTTCATTGTTAGATCATACCAATAAATAAAAACTGTGATCACCTTTCTGAAGTAAAATAACTTTGCTCATCTTACGACCAGTATAAATTATTGGAAGCTGTTTACTGAGTTTCTCAAAAGTGTTCTTGATTTCTGCACGTCATTTTTGCTCTGATTTAATGTGTATTTGACATCTTAACTCAGCATGTGACATCTTTCGCTATAATCAAAATAAAATCAATTTAGCATTTTTTTCTTCAGTGGTATAAAATAATAAAATTATTCAAGTGTATTCATGTACTGTGCCTGCTTGTGTTATCAATATTAACTCCATCTGCAGATGAATTATCAAATTGCTTATCACATGATAAGTTTTAACTGTTTAAGTACATATCTTTGCTATAGTGAACAAATAGAATGTCTTCTAAATGGTTTTGATATAACATGTGATGAAGTTGTGGGTGAATTAATGAAAATTGTTAAGAAAAACATGTTTAAAAGCATTTCTAAATAAATTAATGATAGGCAATTTAATACTTATATTAGCTTATAATGTTGAAGCAACAATTATATGAACCAAAAAGTATGCAATAAAATTACTTATTATTTAGATTTCTTTTAAATATCCACGCATGTTCTAGTATAGCACGTTTATTTTTACAAAAAATTAGATAAATAAATAGAAAAAATTATACCTAAGTTTAGGGTTTGAAAGTAATTCTGCATGTTCTCAAGATCTTTCTTGCCAGAAAAGAAATAGAAACTAGAAAGTCCTTTAAGCAAACGTGAGAATCTAAATATTTTTTAATAAATATTTTCACAATTGTGCATATATTAAATTTTCAGGAGAAAAATGTGCAGTTCATATAGAAAGTTCAGTTTTTAGCAAAGGTAAGGAACAACATTAGGGGATGTTAAATAAGAGCAATGAGCGAGTCAATTTTCAGATTTTTCTTCGTGAATTCCTGTGTAAACAAGATAACGTATATAGAATTTATCACCATATATGAACAGTTTAAAATAAAGATTATCTATGCCACTCAATATAGTACAATTACTTTAAAATTATTAGATCTTAATTGAACTCTAATTGTTCTTGAAGGAATTGATAGTTGCTGGAATCTTGAAAAAATAGATTAATTTTTCAATGTGTTAGTTTTTAAATATTTGTCACTTTCGAATAAAACCTACATACGTATATACACTATTCATTTGTATAATAGTATCAATTAAGCAAACCTAGAAGTGCGCTGATTTGGAATGAAACCATCCAATAGAGTTGCATACTTAAGTCTCTAAAAGTGGGTAAATATATTATTTAAGGTTGGATAAATTAGTTTGGGATATAAATTATGTGACAAATTAAACTGCAGACCATAAAAAAGAATAAACATTAAATTTTTATTTTAAACTTGCAGAAATGAATATCTAATTTCAACACTTACCATTTCCGTATTCTCATTAAAATTAGATTTTTTTAATAACATGTATGAATTTAGTAAGAATTCACCACTAAATTAATGGTACGGCATATGAAAATCTGTTTTCCTAGAAATATAAAAGTTTACACTATTGCTTGAATATATATAAGCTAATCTAAATTATACAATAAAAAAAAATACTAAAATTATTTAAATTAAACCATTTAATTAAACAGTCATTTACAACTTACAATTTAATTCATAGGATTTTTAAAACATAGCGATAGTAGAAAACTTGTCAATAATATATTTAAAATTATTGGTACTACGAATATGCTTAATTTAGAATTATATGTTAAATGTAACCTTCTTTAGGATTAAATCTAATTCTAATTTGTAAAAAAATATGAAAAACATCATTTCTTTATTTATTCATATATTGACTGTTTCAAGTGAATGAATAAAACTTTAATTGGATCAATTTAATCATTATTTATTTATTATTACTCATCTTATATATTATTTTATATTTGAAAGATGTCTTCGTTATTTTGAATTTATATTTATAATTAAAATGATCAATAATTCTATCCCAAAATTTTTTTTTAATTTAAACTGTTACAGAATAAGTTTGAAGCAATCCACATTTTTAGGTAATTGATGTATTGTAAAAAGAGAAATAATAATATCTTATTGTTCGCTTCGCATCAAATAACTATATTAGTATTGTCTCGAAATAATGCTTAAGAGTATAAAATAATATTCCAGAGATAATACATTTTATGCCTCGGAATCTGTTCAAATTATTTAACAGTTAATACATGAAACCTCGGTTTAAACCATTTTAAAACAAAATTTTTTGAACAGGCATCTCTGCCATTTGTTTTTCTACAAATGCTTTGACTTATTCAACCAATCAAGCTTTTCATTCATCCAAATCATGTGAATAACAAATCGAATTAAAAAAAGTACCTATATAAATAGGGCTGGGTCTAAAATAATTTTATTTTAATCAGTTCTATTCTTTGAGATATTAATTTTTTAAAAAAATTTTTTATAGCCCAGCTCTCTTTTTGCTGTGGTGGTCCCAAATAGCAACTGGACTCTTATCAACTTGTGACTCATGAATTAAACTCTGAAGAATTCTCGAATCATTCGATCGAATGCTTATTAGACTTTGTAAATTACGAGTTACAAAAACAAATAGAACAATTTTTCTCATCAATATAGTTTCACAAGTAGAAGTCATACCCTCTTTTTCGAAAATAGTCTTCAGACAAAACTTTGAGTAGATCTATTTATGGTGTCCAGAATTCTGTGATGAATAAATCTGTTTGCTCTGAAAATGATTTTTTTGTATTGTCTTCGAGTATGATAAATGTAATAAATATAATTATAAAAATTTTAATCAACTTTATTATTTGTAAACAACTTATTTTAATGTCCCTTCAAAATTTTATTTGAGACTAATCGCATAAAAGACCATACCAATAACTCAATGACATAAAAAATAAAAAATCTAAATTATGAATTTAATTAATTTAGAAGAAAATATCGAAAAAATTAATCCATTATCCATTTTTACATTAAATTAAATACAAACATTTTTAATAAGTTCAAATGCAATATTCTTATTTTTTTTTAATATTATTATATCCTGTGATATAATAAAATGCTTTTAAACATGTAGAAAGAAATTTAGTTTCTCTGTCTTTACTATTTGCAGCAAGTTTTAAAAAAATATCGCATGCTTCTTTATAATAGTTTTTACTGTATAATTCTAATGCAATTATAAGAATATGTCTTTTATTTTTTTTGATATATCCTTTGTTAAAGTAATCTGCCATATTAATTAATGCATCTAAATTTATCTCATCAACTTTAAATATTCTAAGCATCTTTATATTTATTTAAATCATTTAGATATTTTGTGACACCTATAGCTTGTTTTCTATCTTGTTCTACACCATTTCCGTGCATATAACAAAGAGCAATATAATATGTGGCCATGCTATAGATTTTATCATTGTCTTTTCTTGAACGATCTGTGGTAGCAAGATTGCAAAAAGAATTAAAGGCTTGAACATATCTTTTTCCCTTATAATCTTTAATTGCACTTTCAAATTTAAGATCATTCCAACTAGTCATCTTGAAGTTTGAAATTCAAAGACTTCAAACCATACAAATTTATATGGTATCATCTCTAAATGATTAAATAATTAGCAAATTCAAATTTATTCGTTTATAATGTTAATTTAAATCTATATTAACAATTTTATGGAATAAATATTTTTACGATTTAAACAATAAATTTATGTAGCATGAATTTAAAGATTCTAGTCGTCTCTACTTTTTTTACATAATCTGATTGTGGCAATTAGAAATTGTTGAATTGATTAAGTAATAAATAGAATAACAATTAAATACGATGCATTCTCATGTCATCATCTTATTATTTAACAAGGAAAAGACATTTATTATTGTTTTCCCAAAAATATGTTTAACATAATAGCTAGAATCTCATCAGATTGAGATGATTCTCATTTTTATTTTCAAATTCATGTTCATTCAAGATTTAAAATTACATTAAAAACTTATTGGATTCGAAATATCATTGGAAGTATAATTTCCTAAATTTAAGTATGTAAATTATATTAAATTTTGACCAAATTTAATCGTTTTACATGAGAAAATATGCAATTCATGTGAGTGGATTTGATTTTTAGCTGCTACTTCTAAAGAATCTATAACTATGTTTTTATTTTCATTTGTGGATATTTCGTCAGATCCTAATCCATTTAAAAAATAAAATAAATATACAAAAAGCTACTTAATCTGAAAATCTAATTCATAATATTTTTTTTTATAGTTTCAATTAAGAGTTAACAATTTTTTTTTTCTAATGAAAATATAATGCTATTAATAATAGTTTCAACTACTATTTCTTAAAAAATTTTTTAATTGAAATACATTAAACACTGTTGATGGAACTAACAATATGATTCTTAATCGTCGCATTTATGCTAATTATTAGTTTAATGAAAATTTTTTATTTAATTATTATGGATCCATAGAATAAGCAAAAAAATTTTCATCATATTTTATCAGGTGGTTGCAGAGATATCCTTGATCAAAGTTTTGTCAAAAATTTAAATGTATCTGTCATGTGATACGCGTTTTGAAATTCTCTAAAACTTTGATCAAAGATATCTTTGCAACCACTTGATCAAATTCAATGAAATTTTTTTTATTTGAATTCTATGGATCCATAAAATTCAAATAAAAAAATTTCATCGAATTTGGTCAAGAACTTGTAGAGATATCTTTGATGAAATATTCTTCTATTTCCAAAAAGTATTTTATAAAGAAGCTGCGCCAAATGAAAAAAAGCTATTATAGAATGAATATTTAACCAAATAACATGAAATTTTAGAAAGCAAAATTTTAGCATATTCTCTATTGATTATATTAGTGCGCAGTAACTTGTTTCATTTGAACTTGTAAAAATCTAGCCTGTGATGTGATTTTGCTGTTTTCATCAAAATTGAAAATTCCGAATCTGGAAGCAAATTGAAAAATCATCATAACTTCGTCAATATTAATCCGTTTATGATGAAATTTTAACTGAAGACTCTCGAATACCTATTCTATCAACTTACTAATTCACGTTTTGGAGGTTTCATTTTGAGAAAGTGCTTCCAGAATCATTTGAAGTTTAGAGGAAAACTTGCGAAAACGTATGTGTCAAATTTTACAAAAACGTTAATATCTTCACAAGTTTTTAATATTTTTTCATGAAATTTGAGATTCTATTAGTCCATGATATGCGCTAAAAGTCTTGTTATAATTTTTTTTTTAGTTAGTATAGTAAAATTTCTTGTAAATCATCGCCGAACAGTGGGTTATTTTGAAAAAGCAAAAAAACATATTACAAAGAAGCTGCGTTGAAATTGTTTACAGAAAATTTCATCAAAGATATCTCCACGAGTTCTTGACCAAATTTGATGAAAATTTTTTTATTTTAATTCTACGAATCCATAGAATTCAAATAAAAAAAAATTTTATTAAATTTGATCAAGAACTTAAAATATTTAAGTGACAAAATCGAGGTGATCTACATGTACCATGGTGCGAATAGCAAAAACCCATGGTGCGAATAGCGGTTCCCTATATATAAGGTTTGATTATATTCAAAAATTGCAATTACTGTAGTTGAATCTTATTTGGGCCAATCAGGATTGCAGAAAAATGGATATACAGCAATAAACCCAAATTAACCTCGGGCCCTGGCTGACGTGCATGGATTGTGTTAGGTAATAAATGCTTGTATAAATCAATGTTTCTACATACATGTTCATTAATCTTCTAAACGAAAGATCTGAGTCCAATCTTAACTTAATGGGAGATTTAACTTCATACAATGATATTGTTTTGCCGACTGCATGGGATATTAAAGACAAATCACCGTTTATTGACATAGATTCAAGTGGACTTAAAGTGAATTATACAGGTAATAAGAAAATACGAAATCTTGCATTTAAAGAATATCAACATAAATTTTAATTTATTAAAAAACCTTTTTAATTAAAGATCCAGATGAGTTTAAAGCTGCTATAGTTCGAGCAAATCATCCAATCCCTTCACAATGTGGGATGTTTTACTTTGAAATCAAAATTTTAAATAGAGGAAAAAATGGGTAAATTAATAATTATTTCGTATTATAAACAACATCTTTGTTCTTGTAATTTTTTTTAGTCATTTAATTTTATTTTCTTAATAGAATGATTGGAATCGGATGTTGTACAAAGCAAAGTGATAAAAAAATAGACGATTCAGCTTATATAAATAATATGCTCATGCCTGGTAGTAGCAAATTTTTAATTTATTTTTTTTTCATTACAAATTAACATCTATCGTATCCCTTAGGTCAGGAATATAAAAAAAATAAGGAAACTAAAGAAACTGAACAAAATAAGGATAATGAAACATGGGGATGTGGCTATCATGGTGACGATGGATATTCTTTTTGTTCAGGGAGTGGCGAGCCATATGATTTAAAATATGAAGGAAATGTTCCTGGATATACTACTGGTGATACAATTGGATGCTACCTAAATTTTAGAAATAACATAGTATTTTATACTAAGAATGGAATCAACTTAGGTAACCAATATTTTAGAAATTAAAGTTTATATTTCTTAAAGCTAATAGATAGAAATTTAATAACTATAAATATTTTAAGGAATTGCATGTCATTTAAATAGTAATTTCAAAGGTATTCTATATCCTTGTGTTGGATTTAGATCACAAGGCGGGTCAATAAAAGTGAATTTTGGCTACAAAGGATTTAAATATTCGGGTAAATTTATTCAAAGGGTCTAATCTTTTTTTATTTATTTAGAATTTAACCTTGTATATATATATTTTAATTAACAGCAATGACTAACGAAGACATTTCAATTAACAGCAATGACTAATGAAGGCTTCAGCAAACGCCAATGGCGTCCCTTAACGACATTACGAAAGGGTTTCGAAGGGTTTTACAAAAAAACAAAAAGATTAAATAATGCATTAATATTGGAATATCAAGAAAAGGATTACTTTATTATAGGTGGATATGAAAATATGCTTGTTAATTTAACCGATGAATTAACAAAATCACTAAAAAAAGAACCAAATAATGCATTTGAATTAAGTTACCGAGGAAAACTATTTTTTATTATAGGCAAATATGATGAAGCATTTGAAGATTTAACTAGATTGCTGGAAATTGAACCAGAAAATATATTAGCTTTAAAATATCAGAGTGAAAATAATTATATGATAAAAAAGTATAATGAATCAATTGCTGATTTGGAGAAATTATTAAAAATTAAACCAAATAATATATGGGCAACAAAGGTACTTGGACTAGTTAACAAGCTGTAAGTATAATGTGCACCTGTAAATTTTAGCAACTTAAAAGAGCTTATAAGTAAATAATAATTTGATAACCACTTATGTTATCACAATAGTCGGTAAGAATTTTTTTACAGTAAATCACTATAGAAATCACGAACATTCCAATACAAAACTAACATAACCATATCTAAATCACTTGTA